TTTGCAGTTTGTGCTTCCCAGTCAGGTAGGCCTGGATTTGAATCCTGACTACCCCGCTCACTAGTTGTGGAGACGCATTCTTCACTTCTCAGAGCCTGGGTCTCCTTTTCGGTGAAGTAGGAATGAACAATGAATGATAGGATACCTCCCTGGTGCTGTTATAGTATTAAATGAGGTAAACTTCTCAGAACAGAATCTGGCACAATCAAATGCTCAGAAACCACTAGTGCTTACAAACCCCCCTGTCTTCTAGTCCATGGCCACATCTAGTCCTGGTTTTGTCCTTCAGGCACGATGACTCCGTTAAAAGCAGAAGCAGGGAAAAGAAAGAGTATTCTGACTATACTCACTTGGCCTCCTGGGCCTTTGCTGATTAGGAAAGAGCCTCGGCAAGAATGAGTCCCTGAGCCCGGGTGCAGTGGCCCTGCCATCAGCTCATACTCTGCTTTCTAGGGCTGTGGGCACAGTGACCCAGACACCCAGGGAGCTGGATGCTGATGACCCAGACACCTCGGGACAACAAGGAGCAGAGGAAAGGGGCAAGAGGGGTGCTGGCAGCCACCTCTGAGAGCTGTGGGCCCTGATCCTGATGGAGACTGCGGGGAGGGAGAGTGGAACGTGTGTGTGCCTCTATTCAAAGTTCCGACCCCTAACTCATTAAAATGTGCAGAGGATCACCCAGGGCCTGGCCCCATGCTGGGCAGGCACCTAACCCAGTGCCTAGACAGACACACAGATGACAATTTCAATAGAGTAGGGGGTGCTGTGGAGGTAGGGGGTGGGCAGAAGGGGCTGTGAATGCGACTGATACAATCATAGGACTCGCAGACCATGCTGTTCCATGTCCCCTGCCCACGTCCAGGGCAGACATTGCTAATCAACCTGAACACTCATGCCAAGCCTGGACTGTGCTCCAGAATCTTTCTCAACATAGCACACTCCAGGGAGCCACTATCAATTAACTGACGCTGGCACATGAGATAAAGCTTATGTGCCAGTTCTTAGCTGAGATCTGGAGGAGGGATGAGTCAGAGGGTGGAGAGGGGGTAGAAAAGGGGGTGCCAGGTAGAGGGGGCAACATATGAAAGGCCTAGAGGTGAGACAGAGGGAAGCGTAAGAGGTTCAGGGTGCTGAAGCGGGGACACGTGGCTGGGGACTGGCAGAGGCTGGCAGAGGTCAGAGAAAGTAAGTGCTGAGTGACATCCTATGGAGTTTAGACCAAAAACAGAAATTGCAGGTATCCGGGCAAGAGTGATAAGAGGCCTCACCAAGGGCGTGGGGATGGGGAGAAATGGGTGGAAATGAAACGGCAGAGCCCAATCATAGATGGGCTCTAAGGATATGGAGTGTGAGAGAGAGGGAGCCACCTGGGAGGACCCCAGGTTTCTTGTCTGGGCAGCCAGGAGATGGTGGCACTCTGCAGCCAGACAACGTAGCAGGCTCTGCTGGTCTCCTCGCTTCCATACCCACTGACCCTCGCCATGTCACGCTGACTTCAAACTGCCAGCACATGTTTTCCTGCGGTCCCCGAGGAATTCCTCTGGCCTCCAGAGCCCACTGTGCTGCAGGCGAGTCAACCAGTAACTGATGAGGGTGGGAGTATAAATACTTGAACTCCCTCGCCTCCTGGGGGATGACTCTCAGACGCATGTCCCACACTGGCTCCCATCAGGACGAAGCCCCGGATGCTCACAGTGGCAGCTGGCTTCTCGACACACACGTAACTGGATGCCGTCCCTGCTCCCCCTCTCTCATGTGCTCCTCTGCCTTGGGTTTCTGGAATTACCTCCCGTGAGCAACCTGCACTCAAATCCGTGTCTCAGGTCTGGTTCTGGGGAACCAAAACTAAAGCAGATGGTCCAGGCAGTATCTCAGGTTTCAGCGGGGGGTGTGGGGGGTGTGGGGGGCAGGTCTAGTGAGGTACTGTTCTCATGGCCCTTTTTCAGGGTGCTTGAACCCCTACCCTTTGTCTGGGGAAGATGGGCCTGCTGGTGGGGAGCAGAGGTTGGCTGGTTGCCAAACCCACAGTTGTTCCCTTCCAACCTTGACATTCAGAACCCCAATTTTCAATTAGGCAGAAAGGGGCTCAGGGAAAGAAAGTCCTTCCCCAGCTTCAGGAGATAAAGCAGAATCAGTCCGGTATGCTGAGGTCTACAGAGGGAAAAGATGGAGGGACTTGGGGACCAGAAATCCTGACAGATGCAGCCATTAAATGAGGGAGAGTCCAATATAATGGTTAAAGGCAGACTCCAAACGTCTGAATTCGAATTCCAGCATTTGGAGCCACTTACTAGCTGTGTGACCTTGGGCAAGTTAATTCACCTCTCTTGGCTTCCATTTTCTTGGCTGTAAAATGGGGATATTAACATTCCCAGCGTCATCAGGTTGTTATAAGAATTAAACAAGTCAATATATGTAAATGCACTTAGGGCAATGCCTGCACACGGCCAGTGCTCTATACGTGTTAGCTCTAGACCATTATCACTGCTAAATCGGGGCCACTCAACCTTAACATGCACGTGAACCACCTAGGGACCCTGTTAAAACAGATTCCGATTCGGGGAGTCTACGGTCAAGCCTGAGATGCTGCACTTCTACCAAGCTCCCAGGACCACGTCCTGAACATCAAGGACTGAAGCCACTGTTAGCTGGTACTGTGTAACCTGGAGCCCGAGGACCTTCACTGACAGACAGAACGGCCCGACCCATATGTACCAAGACCTGGGAAGGATGTAGCGTTTCCAAAGTTCTCTTTGGAACTTTGCAGCTCTTACCACGCTCCAGCTGCTGGTCAGAAGAAGGCAGGGTCCCGGAGGTGCCCAGCCCAACTGTCTGGCACACTGTAGATGTTCGATCCCATTTGCCGAAATGAAGATCCACGTGAGAACACCCCTGTGCCCACTTGCAGGAATACACATGGTGACTCAGTGCCTGAGGCCGACAGACCTGGAAGTGCCCAGGGCCACAGGCTTGTGGGAGCTGCTCAAGAGCACTGGCTTCCCATAAGCCTCAGCTGGACTGGCAGAAGCCCAAGAGGAGGACGGTCACACCTCCTCCTGTTTCAGAGCCTGGCATCTGGGTCCTGCCAGTGCCCAAAATACCTCTAGAACAAGGAGGAGGCCAACCACATCTCCAGGTCCCCACCTGTCCCTTCACCGTCCCTTCCTTACCCAGGTGTTGAGCAGGGTAGTAGCACCTGGCTGGGCTCAGCCCCTCTCAAGAGGGCAAGACTCTGCCCTCTGCTGATCTCTGTACCCTCTAACCCACTCAATCTTCCCTCAATTGGGCTCAAGACACCCACCCAAAACCTTTTAATAATAATGATCACAGCCAACATTTATCCCGTGCTTACTCTGTGCTACTTACTTTATAGACACGATTGTATTTGGGAGGATCACTGTATCTGTTAGGATGCAATTGGCCTCAAGGAGCAAAATACCCAACTAACAGTGGCTGAGTTAACAATAAGCAACGATCATCACAGCGAATAATAAACATCGCCTGCTATGCGCCAGTCACTGCTCTAAGTGCTTTCACATATATTATTTCATTTATAACCCTCACTCAAAAACTTTATTAGGGGTCTGTGCTACTATTGCCCCCTTTCTGTAGATGAAGAAACTGGGCTCAGAGAGGAAATGTAACTTCACCAAAGTCACACAGCTACTAAGAAGCTGAAATGAAGTACAGACCAAAGTTGACTCGAGTCCTGGCTTTGAATCTCTCTGTAATGTAAGTAGGTCCCTGGCCCCTTAAAACACACAATAGCAAATGGCACAAGAGCCACCTCCCAAGCACCTGCCATGTGTAGGCATCGCATTCCTTCTGCACAATACCCTCCTATGCTGCTCCCCTTGGAGAAAGTTGTGTGACATCACTGAGCCTTTATCTCCTATTCTATAAAATGGTAATATGGGTTTGACTTCCTGTTGCTGCTCACTGCACCACACTGCCGTCCCGTGACTGGTCCTCTGATCTGCCTGGAAGTCAACAGGCCAGTCTGCTGGCCTCCTGAAGCCTAGGCAGGCCAAGGAACACACCTAACCAAGGCCACTCAGTGTCAGCAGCAGAGCCAGGACTAGGACCCGCACCTCCCGACCCCT